TAACATCAAAGGGGCAGAAGAAGATGGCAAATGAAGAAATAGGAAGTTGGTGAAAAAAATTGAGGTAGTAGGCAAAGGAAGCAGGATAAAGAATAATTCTGGCATATTTCTCCCCATAAGTGCTAGGGTCCTAAACAAGGAATTTTAAGCATTTGAGATGCAAATCAGTGAAGTATGCAAAGAGCCAGAGTTGGAGCACCCAAAGGGGACCCCCGTGGTTAACATCAAGAGGTTTCTCACAAAATTGGGAACATGCTCTATAAACATGGCCTAAGAGGTAAGGAGCCAGGGCTATGCGTTTTTTCAAAACAAGTGCATTCGCAAGTGGGGCGAATTCAGGCATAATCCTTTGAGATGATTTACAAAAGAGAAACTTACACAGCCAGTATAAAATAAAGGAAAAAAGTTCTCTATCTCTCACGGGGCCTACCTTTTTGTTTTCAGCCTTTACAAAGTCACTATAGGAGGAATTTAAGGGTGGAAGGGGAAACATCACAGGAAGGTCCAGATAGCCGGGTGTAAAAGGAGTACCAAGGGGTGAAAGCCGTAGGAGATGGCAGATATCAAGAACGGTGGGGGCCATCATGCCACACCGAAACTGAAAAAAAATTAAAAGCCATGTTCCAAAAGCAAAGAGCAACAGGAATCAAAAAAGGGTCTTCAGGAATGATAAACCTGGAAAGACGAAGGGCGTCGAGAATACAAAGCTCTTGCAGGTCATCTTCTCTTGCAGGCACAACTCTCTCATGCCATTCCTCCCATTCAGCTCTCAATGTCAACTAGCAACGGTGAGGTCGGGTCATTCTCCAATTTCCCCAGTCGAGCCCTCATTCGTAGAGAAGAAACTGGTCCTCCAAGCGAGGGTATAAAGCTGGAAGTTGAGCAGGAGCTTCTCGAAAGATAGGACCGAGGACATATTCTTGTTTGTGGCTGTGACGAGGAACAAAGAGGCGTCCATCTATGGCACTTGACCCATCAGTTGTTGACTTGGCGATTTCTTCATCGATACATCTTTTCAAAGCCATGGTTGGGCTTATACGATCGCCAGCAAGTACTTTCAGAGAAGAAGAATCCATTGGTAGCAAGCAGCGAGGAAGAGAGGGTTAATAGAGGAGAAGGTTTTGTGTTAAGCGAGCGAGTGATTTCAGAACACGAAATAAAAGTGTTTTAAAGAACCTTTGTGTCTTGAAAATATATCGTGTAATTCGTAAAGTACTAAAGGTACAAATACGAAGAGTTTCCTTCAATATTGATACTTTTGGAGGGAAAAACACATCCTAGATGTTGATGTCAGCTTCGAAATAAAATATTTGGCTTCGAAACCAGATTTTGGTGCCAAAAGTCAAATAACAGCGGCTTTGAAACTGAGAAGCCGGTTTCGAAGCACATTCCATACCTAAAGATGTATGAATGCACAAGTATTTGTTTACTTCAAAAGGATTAAAGACCTGTTTTAGGTTTTTTAATGAGAGTAATGTTCTTCGAAGCAAAACTTGATACCCCTTAAGGATGGGAATTGGTGTTCTAAACATCAAAACCAATAGTTGGTTTATATATACCGAAAGGATTGTCTTTTCGGACTAAAACAGTGCAGCCCTCAAAAAAGGCTTCCATATTTTTGAAAGTATGGACTGTTGTTCGAAACAAAAATGGTCAATTTAAAACTGATTGATCATATTAACCATGACCATATTTTGGTTATGATTAAAACAAGCTTTAAGGGGCAAGATTGTTAAATTTGAAGCACTGATTCTAAATAAGAATCAGCAAAAACTGTTAACTATAATCCATAAATTGGAAAAGTTCATGTTGGTTTTTTAGTGTTTCATTTAAAACAATTAAATCCAGATTCGAAGGATAAGATTGTTCAGTTCGAAACCCTAAATTTGCTTTTAAAGACAAACGGAGACAAAATCAAACAATGCCAAACAAAGAGAAAAGTCTTAGTTGTATTAAAGCAAAAGCAATTACATCGAATGGCCCTTTTTGGGTACAAATTCGAGCTCATAAAAGTAAGGAATAGAATAAATAACAAAATCATGGAATTTGGTCCAGCTATAGTCAATGAATTTCTGTTCTTTCTTTATTCTGTCCTCTATTTCTTCCAGAATTGGTTGCTGAAGTTAATGTGCTCTCACTTGATAAAAGAGTTCTTCAGCCTTTTATTTCGAACAATGTTTCTTTCAATCCCTGTTCCAGCTCGTCCATATCCAAGTCATCCCAGTACGTAGAATCTTTATTCTTGAAGTTATCGAATTCTTCAATGAGGTTATCTGCTTCGTACTGGGCATGAACTCGAAGGGATGAGAGTTGGTCCAAAGATTGAGTGGTGGCCACAGAAGTTCGATGTCAGTGAAGAAGCAATGGGAGTTGGTCCAAAACATGTGAAGCTCTGCTTGGGCGAGGGGGTTGAGGACGTGACCCCGAGTCAGAATGTCACAAGCCCATCGAAGGTTCTTGAGAGGGATGTCGTCCTCAAGAACATTGAAAAGCAAGTGAGAGAAGGCCGCAAGCAGAAGTTGGGCTTGATTCCGCTCAGCTAGAGTAGGGGAAGGTGGAGGCTTGTAAGGAGGAAAGACCTTATTCGCAAAGAGGGCAAGCCTCAGTCTCTCTGTCTAGCAAGGATTTGGCAGAGGAGGAGGTATGGAACCTTCCACTTCAGGAGAAGGAGCAAGGGCAGAAGAAACAAGGGTATTAATATAATCGAGCCAGTCAGAAGAGCAAAGCTTCACCTTCTGGGCTAAAAATAATGGATTGTACCCTTGTGCCTCTTTTGGGCGTCGAGTAGCGTGCACTATCTTTGTAGGCATGGGGGATGTGTACCATGCTACAAGTAGATTGTCCTCCAAACTGCGTCATCGGTCGATGGGCACGTAAGGGTAAACCACCAAGCTTCGCGCATAGGAAGGGAACTCTAAAGGATCAGTGAACTTGACAAAGTGATGGTTAATTCGCTCCCTTAAATCACAGGCCTCAGGTTTCGACCAGCTTGCCCAGTCAGAAACCCCAGAGGAAGAAGAAGCCACAGCCTTATCCCATGTAGAGGATTGTGAAGAAGAACTTCTCATGTCCATATTTGCAACTTTCTGAATCAAAGGATTGAGGGCAGTTTGTTCGTAGTCCGAGGGTGAATCAAAAGAAGAACTTCCCATATCCATATTTGTAACTTTCTGAATCAAAGGATTAAGGGCAATGTGTTCGTAGTCCAAGGGTTGATAGTTTGCAAAGGCTTCCATGACTTAAATATAGAAAGGTGGGTAAATGTGGCTAATTAATGCATTGAGGTTCTTTCGAGGAGGAACAGCATCATCAGATGACTCTTCGTGTGCTCGATCAATGGAGGAGAAAATTGATTCGGCCATAAAAAATGTATCAGTCTGTTCGAATACTAAGGTGGCGGGGGTGTTCAAAAGATTGAAGGAGAGTTTAATGCAGATGATGAATGATAGTTGCATTTCTGGAAGAATGCAAAGCCCATGCACGTTCTAAGACGTGGATAAAAGACCTTGATTCACTAATATCACCAAGTATTGGGTATATTAGTGCGGGGGGTAATGTTGGCTACATATTTTGTATACGCCAATTACAATTCGACGCGTGGCAGAATAAGGGTAATACAGGAAGACTATTCAAGTCTTCACTCATAATTGTACACATGGCAGTTAGCATTGGTTATTACGAGATCTGAGTAGCATTGGATCAGCAAAGAGATGCAGAATGATGTGGCTTCAACGGTTACTCACATTCAAATTCAAAATTATGAGGGAAGCCTAACTGCAAGTGATGGCATAGTAGAGCTAATTATAAGGCAACATGATCAGCGATCATGGAGGAGCAGTTCGACGGTTGGAAATGCAGTTCGATAGTCATCCTTGAGAAGTATGAATAGCAGAGAAGGCCCGAAAAAAACCCCAGACTCAGATCCAAAAAACCAGTCTTATTCTACTTTATTTCCTTTCTAGTTTTACATTTCCTGTTCTTTACATTTCTGCACTTTAAAATTCCTGCACTGCACTTCATTCATAGGAGTAGTTTCAAGTAGATTGTTGCTGTAAACCTCTACGAGGCTGAGTTTGGATCATTGTAAGTTTTTCATTTTAATGAAATGCTTCAATTGTTAAAAAGTTAAATATTCTTTTTTTCTAAAATAAAAAAATATCATAAGTGTATCAATTTTTTTACCTCATATTTTAGCCCAAAAAAAATCAAAAATTGCAAAAATAAAAAATTCACAAACGAGGTCTTATATGCACGGGTGATAATTCGGTAGTCCGGAAATATGGTCACGTGGTGTTTCATGGTAGTATAATTGGTAGAAAAGGTGGAATATTAATTATTTGTATTATGGTAGTATAATTAGTAGAAAAGGTGGAATATTGATTATTTGTATTGGATAATTGAAGAATATAAAGAAATATAATAAATGATGATTGGTAAAGGAATATAGTTACGTGATACTTTAGGACTATTATATAATTTTCCTATATGGACATTGGCAAAGCCTATGTTAACCAATTTGAGATTGTAACAGAAATTAAAAATCCCATCCAAGAAGAATTATTTGGTTTCTTTGCATTCTAAACTCAAATCTCCAAACAAAATTTTAAGAATTTTAAAATTAAGTTGAAACAGATCAAATAAATTCTCACAAATCCTAATTTAAAGAAAATATATCAAAATCAAATTAATTTAAGGGTAATTAATAAACAAAAAAATCAATAAGTATGCAATGTAAAAAAATGTTTTCACCAACTCTTCCCCCAATTTTTAAACTATTAATCAATTGACCTATCTTCTAAAATAAAACCCTCGTATTAATCAATTGACCTATCTTCTAAAATAAAACCCTCGTATTAATCAATTGACCTATCTTCTAAAATAAAACCCTCGTATTAATCAATTGACCTATCTTCTAAAATAAAACCCTCGTATTAATCAATTGACCTATCTTCTAAAATAAAACCCTCGTATTAATCAATTGACCTATCTTCTAAAATAAAACCCTCGTGAATGTGAAGGCAAACTAGTGACACTAGGCTATGAGGACTGCTGTGCAAGGAAAAGAATAAGAAGAGGAAAGAACAAGGTAAGGAGAGAATAAGGCAAGGTTTGAACAAGGAAAAGAACAAGAAAAGGAAAGAATAAGCGAGGGAGAGAAGAAGGCAGGGTTTGAACATACCTGTTAGGAGCCTATAATCTAAATATGGAATATATTAACAAAGTGAATGAACTGCATTCTCGGAGATTCCAAGATTTAGAAGAGCAAAGAAGACCCCATAAGAGAATCAAAAAAAAGAAGACCCTATACGAAGAAGATACAGAGAGAAAGAAAGAGGATTCAGGGAATCATAGGGTAGGTTTCTTTGGGTTTCTTTGAGTTTCTCTCTCTTCACTGCAAAGACAGAAATGGGTGAATCGCCAACTTGTCTTGTTCGATCCTTCTCTCAACCTGCTGGCACTACTTCCACTGAACCCGAAGAGGTTTGTCCAAAAAACACAATCTTCTTCATTTTCACAGAAAACCCTAGTGGGTTTTGATTTTTCTGACATGGGATTGCTATTTCTTTGTCGTTGTTTTAATATTATTTTGACAATACTTGATTTGTTACTGTTCTCAGTATTTGGTTTTTCATTTGAGTTCTTGATTTGTCCCTTTTGCTAGTTATAGTTTCTTCTTCTTCTTTTTCTGTTTCTTCTTCTTCTGATTCTTGTGCTCCTTTCTTTACTAATAACTGCAATCATCAACCAATTGCATGGGAATTTCATGTAATGCTTAGTTAATGTTGTTACACCAAATTACACCCGTAGTCTTGTAGTTTGTTTCTTGTGTCAATTTCGTTCTTATAGATAGTTCTAATTTGATCAATTCTACCCTTGAATTCTTCACATTTTGTGTCAGTTTAGTGTAATTGATAATGCCCATTTAGAAATTGAACTGAAATCAAAGGGCAAAATAGTCTATTTCAAAGTGATTGATGGATTAAAATGATTAATTCCCTTTTTAAATGTACCATTTTCTCTTCGATTTTTGTCTAATTTCTTAGTAGATGTTTATCAATTGAACTAAATTTACACAATGTGAAAGGTTAAGAGGCAAAATTAATACAATGGGAACTACAATGACTAAATTGACTAAAAAGTCAAATTATAGACACAACTGGTATAATTTGCCCATGTTTTATTAGAATCACAAAATAATAGGGTACCTTGTTAAAATGTTTCTATCACATGTGTTCTTGAAGTAGATTATATTTGGAGTTGGGTATGTATGTCTTTGCAATTCTATTTTAAATATATTAGTGGATACATGTGTAAGCTTTGATGATTTTACTGAGAAACACTTGAAAGAATCTCATTACAGGGAGATCCTTATTGTGCCCTGACAACATCAATCTCATTTCGGAGGTTCATGTTGGAATCATTGGCGTGTGAAAAATGGTCGTGTTTCTCTAACAATCAGTACTTGGAAGAAGCTAAGAATTCTTCTAAGCCAGGTTTAGTTGCCCAGAGGAAAGCTTATTTCGAAGCCCTTTACAACAGAAATGGTGCTAAGAAACTTGCAGCATTGCTTGAGGAGCAAAATGCAGCGTGTAATGAACCAAATGTTATGGAAGAGACATCCAAAGACAGCTCAAATCCTCCATGAATTCCAACTAGGGTGCTTACTTTACTTCCTTGCCTTCACCTCATTCATCTTGTTTGCTGCTTTGTGCATGTGCAATAGCGTGCTAGTGCACACTGTAACACATAGCTGAGATAACGTTTTTGGTTTTTGGTAAACTGCAGGCATCAGCAAATGGGTTATCAGTGCATTCTTCAACAGCTCCTCAAGAAGAAAGAATAAGGTTGTTTGTTTGCTTAACCCTTTAAAATTGTGCCATTTTTCTACGTGTATGTATGTTCGTCTTCTTTCACTAAAATGTTTAATTTCATGGTTTACAGAAGTAAACCAGTGGATGATTGCTCAGTTTCTAGAAGGAGGATAGCAGATGGGAAATCACATGGGATAGAGTAAGATCTTTGTTTGTCTATGTTGTGGATTGTAGAGTTTTGATTAGATGCTCATATCACTATCTACTGAGTGTAAAGATTTTGTATTGCATACTAGGAACAATAGCTCCAAGAAAGTTCCAAAAGTCCTGCTAGTATTGTGTTTCTGGCACAAGGTATTGATAAGACGTGGATGCAACCTAAAAAAAGTAATAATAATAGTAATAATAAAAAAGTACTCCCAGTTTAGCGCCCATAGGATTGGGGTCTAGGAGGCATAGATTGGATACAAGCCTAACTTTGGCATTATTTGCACAAAGTGGTTACTCTCATGGTTGAACCCACAAACTATCTATCCAAATGAAGTAGCTTCCCTTGCACTTTCTGTTATACTGCCTTCTGTTTGTTACTACTCATGCCTAATTTATTTCATATTAAATACATATGTCAATACCATCCTTGCCAGTTATACCATTACAGTTTATAAGAATCAATTTTGCAATTCAAGTATCACTCTTCCTCATCACATGTGAGAAAACCTAAACAAAATTTCGTGCAACACAATTACTCTAACGATGTTATGCAATAATTCTAAATTTTATTTAACACTATGCAGCCATTTGAAGACCTCAGGTGTATCTGGACCCAAAGCACGACGTCCCACAGTACCCTCCCCTTTTAGCTTGAGGTGTGAAGATAGAGCGGCAAAACGTAAAGAGGCAAGTCCAGATCCATTCACTCCATGTATATCTGCAGTTTTACTCATTTATTGTTATGCTGATGTTTTTTGCTATCTTTTTATCATTTGCTGTTTCAGTTCTTTCAAAAGCTAGAAGAGAAGACAAATGCCAAGATCTTAGTTTCTGGAAGGAGGATAGCAGATGGGAAATCACATGGGATAGAGTAAGATCTTTGTTTGTCTATGTTGTGGATTGTAGAGTTTTGATTAGATGCTCATATCACTATCTACTGAGTGTAAAGATTTTGTATTGCATACTAGGAACAATAGCTCCAAGAAAGTTCCAAAAGTCCTGCTAGTATTGTGTTTCTGGCACAAGGTATTGATAAGACGTGGATGCAACCTAAAAAAAGTAATAATAATAGTAATAATAAAAAAGTACTCCCAGTTTATCTTCGGGTTTTTGGCTCTGCCTGCTTTGTTCTACTTCAATCCCATGAACACACCAAGCTTGAACCTCGTTCTCATCTTTGTTGCTTTCTTGGGTATGGAATTGAACATAAAGGCTTTCACTGTTGGGATCCTCTCTCTAAACGTCTTCGTATCTCCTGACATGTCATTTTCTGGGAGCACAAAATGTTTTCCTCCCTATCCTTCTTTCACTTACCCGTACTTTCCACTAATGTACTGTTTACTAATCCGTCCATAGATCTCTTCTCTTATGATTTTCATAGAAAAAAGTAGAATATTTGATGGACGAACGAGGGATCCTTTTGAGCGTGTTATAATAAGAAAAGCCTTATATCTTGAAATTAATTCATGAAGTTGATGATAAAAATCTATAACATATTATTGGAGCTTAACATTCCAAGATATCGATTTGTAGATGTTTCAACCTACTTTGTTTTTTGTCTTGTGATACACCATTGAATGTCCAATGAATAAATCCTTATACCCTCCGTTTTCTGATTTAAGACTTGAACTTCTATGCTACTTTTTACATAGAATTTCTCTAACTTCTTTTTTTTTTTCCCTCTCTTTTATCCTGTGTGTAAGTTCCCAACATCTACTGATTATTTGTGGAGATGGAAGTATCAAACGATTGGTAAGTTGGACTGAATATAAGTTTTCCCTTTTGGGCCCAAGGCTCACTTGTGATTTGTGGTGATAATCTGTATATTTCATTGCAAAGTATCAGAAGAAACATAGTAATATTTGCCCCACTGTAATTGAGATAGTCATTATAAGTTAATAAACCCTTTTGACTTTTTTTTATATATCACATTAAATTTGCCAAAACATGGTTTGTTAAGCAAGTTTTATCTTTTCCCACTAGGCATACCGTGACAGGGTTTGCACTGCCCTTTATAAATATCATGGCACACCAGTTGGAGCAGAAAGGAAGCGAAAGAGAAGGCCAAGTAGTGAGAGACAACCCAGAACACAGAATCCCACAAAGAAGAAAGCTAATGACACTGATAATTCCACAGGGAATGTGACTGAAAGCCAAAAGCGTCGTACTAGGTTAAGAAGTAATATGCCCTTATTTAAGGATCCTTTGGCAAGCTCCAAACTAGAGATGATAAAGAACATTAGAGCAGAGAGAGCAGCTGCTGAAAATAAGAAGACTGAAGCCATTGAACGAGCAAAGTAAGTGCCAATTCTTCTTCAATTATATTGTATTATATATTTAACAAGGAATTAAGAGAATATGGAAGCAATCCACTGCTTGTTTGGTGCAGCTTATGGGGACTACTTATCAATTATTTTATTTTATTTTGGGAATCTATGTGAGAGTTTGGTATAGCTTCTACTTACAACTAAGAGGACCTCCAGTCTTTGATCTTTTTTTCATCGAATTTGAATGAAAATTTGATTAAAAGCTTAGTGGTTGTTTGGCATGTGCTAAAATAGCACATGCTATTTTAGCACATTATCCTATTTAGGTCACAATTATCATATTGAAGTCACATCATCTCTCTACCACATCACTTCAAACCCAACTCATATTTCACGTTTGTACGTAAAAGGTCAAAAAATATACTAATCTAGCACTTCCCAAACAACCGCTAATCTGACACAGAACACTATCATCCTTTCTCTTTTTTCATTTTTCATTTTTCATTTTTAGGTAAAGGTATGTATATCTCCAATTATTGTTTTTTTGGTTTAATTTACAATTTTCAATTAAAGTATAATATTTTTTTTTGGAGATTTTTTTTATTTAATTAATTATCTCCAATCTTGTCGCTTTTTTTTCTTTTCTTTTTCTGTTTTTTCATTTTTCATTTTTCATTTTAAGGTAAAGGTATATCTCCATTGTTTTTTTGGTTTAATTTCCAATTTTCAATTAAAGTATATATCTCCAATCATTTTTTTCTTTTCTTTTCTTTTTTTTTGTTTTTCAATTCAATGGCTTGGAGAGAAGTATAATTGTTTTATGCGTGGATTTCAACATTGAGTCCATTATAGGACATTTCCACATCAAAACAGGTATACTTCAAAAGATAGCAACCTTTCTTTTTTGTGGGGGAGGAAAAAAAAAAAAAGGACCTAAAATTAATTATTAATACTCTCTCCGTTTCAAAATATTGTTCTTTTTGAAAAATTTAACTTTTTTTATTGATAATACAATTATTACACTTCAAAAATATTAAATTTTCAAAATTATCCTTTGACTTTTTCTTGACAACATTAATTATCATAATTAATGAATTTAAAATAAGGATAGAATAAGAAATTTATATTATTTTAGTTCTTGATTTTTTTAAGAAGACTAATATTTAAGGACTATAAAAAATAGAATAAGAAATTAATATTTTAAAACGAAAAAAGTACGTAAAGAACCTATGCATTGTTGACGCTCTATTGGTGTTGTTACCTTTCCTTCAAGTTTAATTATTTTCTACTTTTTTTTTTTTTTCCGTGCCTTT